CTGCTAACTATTACTGCTAACGCTGCTAACTATTACTGCTAACGCTGCCAACTATTGCTGCTAACTATTACTGCTAACGCTGCTAACTAACACTGCTAACTATTGCTGCTAACTATTACTGCTAACGCTGCCAATTATCGCTAACTATTACTGCTAACTATTACTGCTAACGCTGCCAACTATTGCTGCTAACTATTACTGCTAACGCTGCTAACTAACACTGCTAACTATTGCTGCTATTACTGCTAACGCTGCCAATTATCGCTAACTATTACTGCTAACTATTACTGCTAACGCTGCCAACTATTGCTGCTAACTATTACTGCTAACGCTACTAACTATCGCTGCTAACTACCACTGCTAACACTGCCAATTATCGCTGCTAACGCTGCTAACTATCACTGGCATCGCGTTGTCAGCAATAGCTGCTAATGCTGCCATTGCTGCTATGCTAACACTCTGTGCTTGGGTCTACAGGAGACCTGCAATCCGGGGGTTTCAGCATCGACGCCTGTCGGAGCATGGTAGCTCTCATGGACGTATCCTGCTGCGATGTTCAGAACCGCCCAGCCCGCCTGGCAGGGTTCTCCTTTGCTAACATCAGACAGATAAATGGAGTAAACACCAAAAGCAGCTTTAAAATTAACATTTTATTTAATAAGAGAAAAATAACCAAACTGTTTCTGTTGAGTTGCCATAGTAACACCCAGACCTGAGAGCTGCCTGACCTCTGACCTCATGAAATGATGTGAACAAAACCCATCTGACAGCAGGAAGCAGGCTGAACCAAGTCAGAACCAGGACCTGCGAAGACGCTGCTGCAGTTGTTAATTCAGTTTGTTCGTTTTGTACTTTCACACACAATCAAGCAAATTCCATGGTGAACTCAGAGCACACTGCTCCAAAGGTACCAGATCACAGATCTGCAGGAATCAGAGCCACTAAATCCTGGATGAGTTTCTCTGGTCGGAGACTTTAGTCCTCTGGGCCTGAAATGTTCTGCAGCTGCTAGAAGGACCACTGAGGAACCAAAGGGTCAGGTCAGAGGTCAGAGGTCAACCTGATCTCTGGTATCCAGCTGGAAGAACTGAAGCTGTGTTGACTCTAGATCTGTAACTCTAGGTCTGAAACTCTAGATCGCTCCTGTTTAGGTCTGAGGATAATAACTCCAGTTTCTGTTCAGCCAGATAAAGTTTTGTCACCTTCACATATTGATCTGTTGTCTGTTCAGTGATTAGATGGGGTCAAAGGTTACCTGGTGACATGGTAATGTAGAGGTGTGTATCATCTGCGTCGTCATGGTAACTAGTCTGATTTGAGTTATAACCTGAGCTAATGGATATTAAACAGAAGGGACCCCTGTACTGAGCCATGGGAAACCCCGTCTGTAGCGTCTTTGATGAGACTGGACCATCTGTTGCTTCCTGAGGTTTAATGAACAGCAGGTCACATGTTTTCTTCCTTTACAATCAGTTTAAAGACGTCAGTAACTGGGAGACTGAACAGCAGCGAGTTCATCCGACTGTGGAACAAAGTCGTCATTTACAAGGTAACGACATCAACTGTGACTCTGAGCTGCTGCGGCTTCCAAAAGTATTCAGACCCAGACGTGTTTCCACCTTCCTGTTCCACAAACCTCCGTGTTTTATTGGCGTGTAACGTTTGTTCGTCAGGACATTTTCTTTCAAACTGATGTTTCTCGGACCGGAACCCTGTCGCTGACGGAGCTCAGGAACGCACTCATCGTTTCAGGTACTCCAGGTTCTGCAGAACCTCCTGGTCATGTGACCTGGCTCTGAGCTGGGCCCGGTCCTGACCCGGTCTGTGTTTTTCCAGGGATGAGAGTCTCTGACGACACACTGAACCTGATGGCGCTGCGCTACGGCGCCCCCTCTGGTCACATGACACTGGAGAGCTTCATCAGCCTCATTCTGCGTCTGGACTGCATGTTCAGTGAGTCGGCCGGCTGCAGCCGAAGCTTCTGGTCCAGATCAAGCATCTAATCCGGATTAAAGGCGCTAACATCTCAGTTTCTGTGACAGAGATCTTCCGGCAGCTGTCTGATGGGAAAACGATGAGCCTGCAGGAATCAGAGGTGAAGACGTCAGCCTCACTCCTCTGAGTGGAGCAGAAGGAACCACTAACGCTGCTCTCTCTGTTTCCAGTGGATCTACGTTTCCATGTACACATGAGTCTGCAGGAGGACGGGCACACAGGAAGAAGATCGGCTCCCTCTCACCTCAGACTGAGCCAGAATAATCTACCTTAAATTAATTTCATGTGTTTTCTATGGAAAACACTTCAACTTCACAACTGATGAAATAAAAACATATTTCAAATTTTACTGCATGATGGCTTTATGTCGCAGGTGGTCTCAGGTTTATCCCTTCCTTCCATGTTGTCCGATTGTCTGCGAGGAAGTGAGAGAGGAGGCAGATCCTCGACCCTCCAGCTCCTCCTGAGGATCCCAAAGGATTCCCAGTTTCATGACGTTTCCTCCTGATGGTCCAGTGGACTCACTTCTACAGAAACCAAAACATTTCTTCCGTCTCCAGCTGCTTTGCGCAACCTGTTCCCCTCCTGGCCTGTGGGGGCGCTGCAACAAGAATCACTGAAGGAAAGGACAGAAAAAGCTCTGAAGACACTGAGAGCAACTTCCTTCTTCACCAGATGGAAACAAGATGGAGGCGACAGATTTT